TTGGATTTCACTCTTGCTCCACCTGCTCATCTGTTCTCTCACCCACCTCTTTACCGTCTGGCCAAAAGCCCTGGCCTGCTAGCCCGGGCCCCCTCCCCCTGGGTCCAGCCCTGCCCACCTACCATTGCCCCTACCATTCCAGCCTGGTGGGCTGGGCTCCTTACCCTCTGGCTCTGTGTGCCAGGCCCAGTCTGCTCTTGTGCCCGAAGGTGGCAGTGCTGTGAGAGTCAGGTGCCCCAGGACTAGAGTAGAAGTCAGAGAAGGGAGTAGGGTCAGAGGCCAAGGTTCTGGTTCCTGGTCAGCCTTGGGCTCTCGGAGAGGATGGGAGGGTCTCCCTGGAGAAGACAACAGATTTTACTTTCAGAGCTGGGGGCTCAGTCCCAACTGGGGTCCAAGGAAGTCTGCCCCACTTTGCCAGTTCTTGTAATTTATTTGTGCTGCCTAGGTGTACACTTCACGGTTTATACAGGCATTCACAGATGTGCTTTCATTTCTCTCCAGTGCTCCCAGAAGCCCAATGTGTGTCCAAGATGGGGAGATAAAGAAGGCCTTGCCCAACAGGGAGGGCCATGCACAGTCCTGAGGGGCTTGCAGAACAAAACTCACTATCCCCATTTACAGATAAAATAATAAGACTAGAAAGGGCAAGGGGCATACCCAAGATCATGCAGCAAGTTTAGCTGAGGCTTTGCCAGGGCTCACTCTGCCTCATTGGGCCTCAGCTTTCCCATCTGTAAATTGGGGATGATGTCCCCTGGTTAGCTGTGAGGCATGGGCAAGCACTTTATATCTGGTAGAATGGAGTCCGTTTGTGAAATGCCATGAACAGCCCTATTATTCCTAGTTCAGAAAACCTCTCAGTATGGGAGAGGGACCAGGTGAGAAGAGCTACTATTATAAGAGAATCAGGATTACAGATGGCTAGGGAATTCTGGGGACATACCTGGGTGTCAATGAGAGAATTCTGGAGTATCTCTGGAGCGATCCTAGAGGACTATTACTTTACTCTGAAGTATTTCATAAACAGTACTTAGAAAGTGGTGGAAAATTCCGAAGGCATTTTTGGAGTACTGTTAGACAATTCTGGAGTATTGGTGAGGTAATACTGCAGTATTACATACCTGTGGAGTCTACTAGGATTTTCGGAGGCACTTCTAGAGCAGTACTGAGAAATTAAAACTAATTCGGAGGCCTTCTTAAAAGAGCTCAGGTTAACACCAAGACAGTCAACATCCCGGTCCCCTCCCAGGCCCCACTCCACCTCCTCCTGCTTCAGGACTCGGCCCCGCCCCGCCCACCGGCCCCGCCCCCGAAGCCCGCACCTGCGCAGAGCGCGCCGGCGTCCTCGTGGTGGCCGCAGTTGTGCACCCCCCAGCCTAGGCTCAGGCAGGCTGCCAGACGGGGCTCGCCTCCTTCACAGTGCACGTTGTCCAGCAGGATGTGCCCCGTGCCGTAGCCGAAGAAGGCGTTGGTGGTGGCTGCCAGAGCCGCCCCGCAGCCTAGCTGGCGGCAGACCACGGTGGCGTCCGGCAGCCCCCAGTCATCGTCACACACAGTGCCCCACAGGCCACCGTGCAGGATCTCCACTCGGCCCTGACACGGGCCCGCGCCCCCTACCAGGCGCACGCTGCCCTCACCTGGTAATGGGGGTGGGGGGACAAGGAGCATCTCCCACATGGCTTTGCTGCCCATCCCAACCCAAAGTTCTTCCTTATTGGCCCAGGCCCTCCGCATACCCACAGTGCATGGTGTCTCAGCACCTAAAACCTAGGAGGAGCTGCTCACCCACCTACCCCCAAGGCACTGCTTCCTCAGAGTCTAGATTGGGGGTGCTTTGTGGGATCTGAGGACAGAACCCTATGACTGTGTCATTTCCTGCCTAAAAGCAACCCTCCCTGCCCTTGTCCATCCATGCTCTGCTAACCATCTAGGATGTGCTGATTCCTCATTTATAACACTACTGCAATGAAAGCCTTCTCATCTTTCCAGGTACAGCACCAACAACTCTTCCTCCAGGAAACCCTCCCTGATTTCTGATGACTGGGATCCTCTTCCTCCTCCGGATTTTCTTGCCTTTTTATCTGTCTTTCTTTAAGGGAACTTTTCATTTTGTTGTTCTACATCATTATCAGCATTTCTGTGAATATCGGACTCTCCCATTAGATTAAGCTTCAGCCCCCACCTCTCTTATTTTCTCCAACCTTGTGCTGACTATTTTTATCATCCCACTAGAACGAATCTTCTTTCCCTGCCCAGATGGTGAGTGGCCTGAGGGGGTACAGGGGCAGGGCGGGATGAAGGAATGACCAAACTCACCCATCAGTAATCCCTCACTTCCCACTGCCTAGGGTAGGGTTTGGGATATTCCTCCCTGGATCCCTCTCCTAAGACCCAGGTGGTCCCCCACATTGCCTTTACTTACCTTTTCCATTCTGGGGAGTTGTAGGGGGTGCCCTACTGGTTAACACTTCCCTTGTTGGGGGCTGCGTGGGCAAGAATTCTGGGAAAGAAGCAGGGTGGAAGGGGGGAGAATATGGAGTTTTCTGTTCCATCCTCACAAACACAGGTATGCGAGGGGCAGGGCACGGACCCCTAAGGTACCTGCCCCCAGGGCCTCTGGCCACACAAAGGGTCAAAACTAGGAAATCTGGGGTATGAGAGGAGAAAGGGCCACCTGAGTCCTGAAAGCAGTAGCTTTAGAGGATTTCCTTTAGTTCTCAGTTCTTTTAGTTCTTAAAGCAGCATCACATCACTTGAGAACTTGGTAGAAATGCAAATTCTCAGGCTCCACCCCAGACCTGCAGGATCAGAAACTCTGGCATGGGGCCACCATCTGTGTTTTAATGAGCCCTCCAGCTGGTTTTCTTGAAAACCAGAACTACTGCTCTCAAGGTCAAAGCCTCTCAGAGATTTGTTGCAGCTCTACACCAAGCGGGCCTCACCGCCAGTGTTGACCCCAATTGTCTGGTTTTAAAAATGGGAAGGGGGCTCTGCTGGAATAATCAAGGCCCTCCATGGAAGCAGTAATGCTGGTTTTCAGCAGAGGGCACACCATGAGCCAGAGCACTGCTGGCGCCCAGGCTCTGACAGCCGGGCTGGGGCCCTTCCCCAGCACCATGCACTGCAGCTGCTGGCTTGGTCTTCTTTGGAACATTCTTACCGCTGGGAAGCCCTGCTGCCTGCCAGCCTGTCTGCCCTTCCGGGTCACAGACTGTCCTGCTCACCGTCACACAGGACAGCCACGTCCTCGTAGTGAAAGCAGTTGTGGACGCCCCAGCCTCGGCTGCCACACTCGCTCAGCGCAGCTTCCTGCCCACGGCACTCCACGTTGTCCAGCAGGATGGGGCCGCGGCCCTGGCCGAAGGCGAGGGGCCGCGGCACGGGCAGAGCCAGGCCGCAGCCCAGCTGACGACACACCACATTGGCGTCCACCACGTCCCAGTCGTCGTCGCAGACGCTGCCCCAGGAGCCGCCGTGCAGGACCTCCAGGCGTCCCCGGCAGCGGCTCGGGCCCCCCACCAGCCTCAGCTCTGTGGAGCGGGTTAAGCTGGCACGGGGGGATCAGTGGGCCCAACCTAGAGGGTGCCTCCGCCTTGCCCTGAAACTGTGGGGGCCTTGGGATCAGGCCCTCCTGGGACTTATTTCTCCCTTTCTGTAAAATGGGGAGACTAGAGCAATCCCTTTGGGGGCCTCTAGAATAATGGAGGCTGGTTAGTCATTATTCCCTGGGTCTTCTGTCTGAGCATCTGAGTACCTTGGGAGCGGGGTGGGGGGCCACGTGCCAAAAGTCAATCTGTGAGTTAGCGGTGGAAAACAAAACAACACCCAGATTTATTAACGCCCAGATTCCTGTGAAGCCACCCTTCCCAGATGGCCAGCCCTCTCTCCATCTCCACACTCTCTTGGCGGGGGGGGGGGAGGCTGGGGGGAGGGGCAGGGGCACCTACCTGGAAAGGGCAGTGAGGTGGGCTGTAGGGCGCTGGCTGGAACAGAGTGAGGAAGAGCATTGGCCCCCTCAGCCCCCTCCCTTGGCTGCCTGGCCCTGGGAACACAGCCCCCCGCTTCCCCCATGGTCCCCACCATCATCCCCCTCCTCTTCACTACCCCTGCTTTTCCAAAGCCCCTGACTGCCCCAGTTGGTTTCCTTGCTTCATCCCTCACCCATTGGTCCATGGGCCGCCCCAGAGAGATCTGCCTGAGACACAGATCAGCTCAGCTTATCCCACTCCACTGCTGAATACCTCAAAGACTCCCCTTTTCCTGCAGGAGTCCCAGAACCTAAGCTTTCTCTACAAAGTCTTCTAGGATCTTCTGATCAGCTTCTGCTTACTTCTTAATCTCCCATCAGTCTTGTCTCCAGGTCTTTAACCCTGAAGTCTCCTCTGCTAGCCCAGCTCATTACAGCCCTGCAGATCGAGCCGCCTCCTATGGGAAGCCTTCCTGGAACTCTCAGCTAGAAGTGCTCTCCTCTTCCTCTGAATACCTGGGCACCGTATACATACCCTTTTCCAGGCCTTCTGCCCGGTGATGTGGCCATGTCTGTCTCATCGGTCTCCCCCAGAGCCCCCTGCCCAGAGCCTGCTACTCCCCAGGTGCTCAGTAGCTCTGCCTTAAGTGTGTAAATTACCTTTAGGATTCATTCTGATTTCCCCCCCAAAGATTTACCTGTATAAGTCCTTCTGCTTGGGCTCTCACTTGTGTGTATGTCAGGCACTGTGCTCATTGCTTTATGCGGCCTGACTCACTTACTCATTAGCACAACTTAGGAGGCAGCTTGGATTTTGCAGAAGGGGAAACTTCAGGTTTACTGAAGTTAGGTAACTTGCTCAAGGCCATTCCGCAAATAAAAGGTAGAGCTGGAACTCTAACCCAGACAGCCACGCTCTCCTTCACCATACAGTTCTGAGCACGTGGACTGAGAGGGAAACTGGCCTAGCATGGGAAATTGAATACCCATAATAGCCCCTCGTTTGTGCACAGAGTTCTCAGACACAGCCACATACCTTAGCTCAGAGAAAGAATCCTTACAACCTCTGAGGCATGTACTAGTGTACCCATTTTACAGATGAAGCAACTAAGAGTCAGTTTCTTCTTTCCTAAGTTAGGATAGTCCCTAGGCCGTTTGATTGCATCTATTCCACCAGTTGGCTTTCCAACAGCCATTGGTGAGCCCATGCCCTTTCCCTCCTTGCCTGTTTCCAATATCCTAACTGCCCATACTCTGTGTACATTGAGCCCTCACCTTTAGCACTGAGCCTTCCACTCCCCCAACTCAGACCTTAGCTTTCATCAGACCTGGGCAAATGTCAGAGCTGGAGTGAATGTTGGGAACCACCTCCTTTACAGGCCACCTCCCACCGTAATTTTACAACTGGGAAAACTCAGAGCCAGAAAGGGGAAATGGGGGGAGGGGGGCACTCACCCAGTGGCAAGAGGAGGAGGAAGGACAGGACAGGGGTGAGGGGGGAAGGGGCAGCATTCCTGTGTCCCGGCCTCCATCCCCTGCTCTTCTCATCAGGCTGGGGACCAATTTGCATCTCTGTGTCCTTATGCATCCAGCCAGTGGATGGCCTTTCCAAGGGTCCCATTAAGGGGTGGTGGAGAAGTCACAGCTGGAACTTCTGGAATTAAAGGTTCCCCTTCACTTCTTCCAGCTGGAAGGGCCCAGGTAGAGCTTCGGTGAGGGGTGGGGGCGTGACATTTCCACTTGGGTTTCGTATTCTGAGTGGAGGCAGCAGCTGGAGGATGAGGACAGAAACACAGATGGAAACTCCTCATGAGGAGTTAGGTCTGGCTGGAGCAGAGGGTGTATGAAAGCAAGGGGTGGGAGGGTTGTCTGATCCCAAACCGAGACAGGTCTGCCTGGCTGTGTCAAAGGCTCAGAGTTTTTCCTCCAGGGCAGCACATCCCAAAGCAGGGTGTTTGTGCCACTGGGGGCAACCCACATCATTTTCGGGGGAGATAGATGACACTTACTGTTTCATTTTCATTTATTTTTTCTTTTGCACTGCCTTCTATTTATGGCAAAGGATTCTGGCTTTTCATTTATCTGGAACAACATAAAGTTTCCCTTTGAAGTTAATTTAATTTATTTAATTTTGTTTTTTTGGCTGCACCGCAGCTTGCGGGATCTTAGTTCCCTGACCACGGATTGAACCCAGGCCCATGGCAGTGAAAGCGCTGAGTCCTAACCACTGGACCACCAGGGAATTCCCTAAAGTTAATTGAAATCAGAAAAAAAAAAAAAAAGTTAATTTAAAGAAAAAACATCAGGGACTTTCCTGGTGGTCCAGTGGGTAAGACCCTGCACTCCCAATGCAGGGGACCCGGGTTTGATCCCTGGTCAAGGAACTAGATCCCGCATGCATGCCACAACGAAGATCCCGCGTGCCGCAACTAAGACCCCACACAGCTAAAATAAATAAAAATTAAAAAAAGAAAAAACATCAAGGAAATATGGTTCCCACGAGTCACAAATATGCAAAAATGGTATAGGGCTGGGAGAGTAAATGCCATTTGGGATTTTTTTTTTAATTTTGGATTGAGGTTTACAAACCAAAAAGTGCATAAATCGTAAGTGCAGAGCTCAGTAAACATTCACACCATGTAACCAGCATCCCAGTGTGTGGACTATGATTGGATGGTTGGCGGCTGGTTTAGAAGATGGTTCTGTTTGGGACATACTGAGACCCAGGTTCCCGGGGGACATGGGTGCCCCTCTAAGCCGGAACGCACCCGCCTCCCCCCACCCCCGCATCTTTCCCTGGCTTTGCTTCCATCCTGGCATACAAACAGTCTGCTTGGGAAGAGGATGAAAACCTATCTGGATGTGGACACGGGGTTTTCAATACTCCATTCATGGGGCCCAGTACAGCCCCCAGTGGAATAATCAGCTTTTGTCCTCTTGGGGACAGCTGGGAGATGGGAGTCGAGAGCTGTGAGGAGGGGGGAACCATGGTCCAATCTTTACTGAGGGGAATCCACTGTGATCTGGGTCTTCCCCTGCCTCCCAGGCCTTGGGGCCACCCATCTCTCAGTCTGTTGGAACACTGGCCCCCCAGGTCAGGGAAGCCCCTGCTCTGTGAGTATGGGGACACACAGCTCCCAGGGAACCTGGCTGGGAATTCTGAAGTACCCCCGCTCTATCCCCTGCCACCGTGGCCCAGGAGTGAGGGAGGAGGACACCAGATCCTGACCGCCACTGATCTCAAGTCCTGGCTGACCCTAGAGCTCTCAGTGGGCCCTGTGGAACCTGTCTTATCTCTAGCTCCTAGCTTGGTCCCCAAAACTGCTCCCGCCTTACACCCTGGGAACCTTGGTCAAAATGAGGCTTAACCGTTCCCTGCCCTTGTGGATTGTGGCTCCATCCCTACCCTGTAGCAGGTGCACCTGTTGCCCTGAACTGTTTCTTCACTGTTCAGGGCAGGCAGCATACACAGTGGTCACAAGCATCCGCTCCACCATCTACTTACTAGCTGTGTGAGCTCATCTTGCCACGCCTCGCTGTCCTCACCTGTAAAATGGGGCTAGTAATACACTTACCTCTTACAGTTCTTGCTAGGATACATGAGATAAAGTTTGTAAAAAGTTTAGCCCAGAGCCTGGCCCACCGTAAGTGTGGTAGCTGTTATTATGATTACTGTTTCCCCGTTTGGACTGGGGACCCTCGAGAGCAGGGACCAGGGCTTACCCAATGGTAGCACCTGGCACAGCGTGGGTACTAAGGAGACTGAATGAAGGTTAAAGCTGCAGAATCACAGCACTGAAGCAGTCAGAAGGGGCCCCGGAAATCATTAAGGACAACTCCACATCTGTCCAGTGGAAAACTAGTCACACACACTCACACTCACACACGCCAGCAAAAGGGAAGAATTCATACCTGGGTGAAGGTTCTAGGCTCTTTCTGTTCCTTCTTCTATAGTCAGTCTGAGATCAAATCACTTTTTCTGCCTCCAGAAGTTTAGGACTGGGAAGGATCCCCCAGATGCAAATCAACACAGACCTTTCTTCTTTTCTTTCCAAAGCTGGGAGGTGAGCAGAGGCAAAGTCCCCCGTCCATGGAGCTGGCTGGTGGTCCCAGCCTGTCCCCACCCGACCTTAGGGGCAGAGGGAGGCAAAGGGAGAGTGAAGGTGGCCTGCAGTGTCTGGAGCAGCCCCCAGAAGGGGCACCGGGCAGAGGAGGAGCTCTGGGGTTGGGGGGCAGGAGTGGACTCTCAGGGCCAGGCAGCCCCTCCTCCCCCTTCCCCCACCCCAGGGTTCAGGTTTCAGAAAGGCCTGGATAGGCCTCCACCCCTTGGCAGGGCAGCCAAAAGCATCCCTGTCTCTCCTGCGACAGCCCTGATTCAACCCTTAGTTCTGTTGCCTGGGACTCCCCCTTGACCATGTCCAAACCCATCCCACCTGGGGGTTTGGAAACCTGGTAGCAGAGGCCACAGTACATGAAGGAGGCTTCCCATGTAGGCAGGACCTCTGATTTTGCTGTTAATATTTTGCCTTATTGTGGTTCCTCTTAAGTTCCGGTACCTTTGGGACTTAGGCACCTTTGTAGTTATAGATGACAGGTAGTGGCGTGTGGTTTACTCTGTAGTTTATAGCTTCAGTCAAATGTTGTGCTGGAATTCTGCACCTTCTGGCTGGAACCACAAACTCTCAGAGCTGAAGGGGTCCTTAGAGACTCCACAGGGTGGCTCCCAAACCTGGGTGTGCATTCACATCACCCCTGGGTGCACTTAAAAATATAAACAGATTCCTGCCCCTACCACTTTTGCCCCAGAGATTCCGATCCAGCAGTTGAGGGATGGGATTCCCCCCAAAAGTGTATTTTTTGAAAATCTACTGAGGCTCAAACAAGTTTGGGGATCAGGGGTCTAACCCAAGCTGCTTATTGTGCGGATGGGAAAACTGAGACCACGAGAGGAAAATGGAGACATAGCCTGTACAACCTCGAAGGACTTAGTTCCCTGACTCTGGAGCCTGATCTTGCTTCCTACTTCTCAGAAAAAGAAAATTCTCTGATGGGAGGTCTGCCATCACCTTGCTCCCAAACCTACACCCTTCACATGTCCGCACTCAGCCCTCCTCTCTTCCCTGGGCCTGAGGAACTGCTCCCCCGCAGTCCAGACCCCATCTCCTTCTACCTTCTCGGGGACCTCCCTCTCTCCATCTGCGGGTCTTCTCTCTCCCGTGTTCAGCTGTTCTTTCCCAACTGGACTCTTCCCATGGGGCTTCTAAGCAAACTGGTTTCTGTCATTTAAAGCAAACAACAGAAAACCCTTTCAACCTATGTCGGTTGGGTCTTCAGGGTAGAAATGGCCCAGCCCTAGTATCCCTACAC